CTGTCTGAACACACCTGTACACACCTGTCTGGACACACCTGTACAGACACACCTGTACACACCTGTCTGGACACACCTGTACAGACACACCTGTACACACCTGTCTGGACACACCTGTCTGTACATGTCTGGACACACCTGTACACACCTGTACAGACACACCTGTACACACCTGTCTGGACACACCTGCACAGACACACCTGTACACACCTGTACAGACACACCTGTACACACCTGTCTGAACACACCTGTACAGACACACCTGAACACACCAGTCTGTACACACCTGTCTGCACACACCTGTACAGACACACCTGTACACACCTGTCTGCACACACCTGTACAGACACACCTGTACACACCTGTCTGGACACACCTGTACAGACACACCTGTACACACCTGTCTGGACACACCTGTACAGACACACCTGTACACACCTGTCTGAACACACCTGTACACACCTGTATGGACACACCTGTACAGACACACCTGTACACACCTGTCTGAACACACCAGTCTGAACACACCTGTCTGTACACACCTGTCTGGACACACCTGTACAGGCACACCTGTACACACCTGTCTGGACACACCTGTACAGACACACCTGTCTGGACACATCTTTACAGACACACCTGTCTGAACACACCTGTACAAACACACCTGTGTGGACACACCTGTACAAACACACCTGTGTGGACACACCTGTCTGAACACACCTGTACAAACACACCTGTGTGGACACACCTGTACAAACACACCTGTGTGGACACACCTGTACAAACACACCTGTGTGGACACACCTGTACAAACACACCTGTGTGGACACACCTGTCTAAACACACCTGTACAAACACACCTGTCTGAACACACCAGTCTGAACACACCTGTACACACCTGTCTGGACACACCTGTACAGACACACCTGTACACACCTGTCTGGACACACCTGTACAGACACACCTGTCTGTACACACCTGTACAAACACACCTGTGTGGACACACCTGTCTGAACACACCTGTACAAACACACCTGTACAGACCTGTCTGTACACACCTGTACGAACACACCTGTCTGAACACACCTGTACGAACACACCTGTCTGAACACACCTGTCCGGACACACCTGTCCGGACACACCTGTCTGGACACACCTGTCTGAACACACCTGTCTGGACACACCTGTCTGGACACACCTGTCTGGACACATCTGTCTGGACACACCTGTACAGACACACCTGTACACACCTGTACACACCTTTCTGAACACACCTGTACACACCTGTCTGAACACACCTGTACACACCTGTCTGAACACACCTGTCTGAATACACCTGTCTGTACACACCTGTACACACCTGTCTGAATACACCTGTACACACCTGTCTGAACACACCTGTCTGAACACACCTGTCTGAACACACCTGTCTGTACACACCTGTCTGGACACATCTGTCTGGACACACCTGTACAGAAACACCTGTACACACCTGTACACACCTGTCTGAACACACCTGTACACACCTGTCTGAACACACCTGTCTGAATACACCTGTCTGTACACACCTGTACACACCTGTCTGAACACACCTGTACTAACACACCTGTGTGGTCACACCTGTCTAAACACACCTGTACACACCTGTCTGAACACACCTGTACACACCTGTCTGAACACACCTGTCTGAACACACCTGTACACACCTGTCTAAACACACCTGTACTAACACACCTGTGTGGTCACACCTGTCTAAACACACCTGTGTGGTCACACCTGTCTAAACACACCTGTACACACCTGTCTGAACACACCTGT